TCACCCGGGCGATGGACGACTGGACGGTAGAGATGTCCAGCTGCAAGGAGGTGGTGGTGGAGACATGTAAGGCACAAAAGGGTGTCAATCTAGCCGTTTGGCAACAACGCACAGCATGATTACCTGACGCGCCTGGAAGATTTTGTTGAGCGTGTTCAACTGGTCAAGCACATCCGCGAGAAACATCAAGAGAAACCAGAAACAATGGTGTATAGCCTATCGCTTGGGAACGTAGACAGCATTACGATGATCGCCGGCAAAACCTTCACCAGCCGTTGGATGGCTTCCCTATGGGAAAGCCACCTAACGTAGTGAATACCCTGCAGCTCAAGCGTCGTTGCAAGGAAGACATCCAGAAGCTCAAGAAAGCGTTGGAGCCACGGCCCCGAGCGTCCGAGGAACTCAGCAAGCTCTCGGATGACATCGTCGATCATCTTGAAGGCGGAGAGACCTCACTGCAGAAGGACGTGCACAGAACATGAACAGTGGAAGGGAGAGTTAGACAAGGCAAGGCATGCATGGCTTCTGTCCAGACTGAAATATGCATGCAACAAACTGCCCAGTGCTTACCGATGTACTATGCAGTGGCAGGAGACGAGGTGGCGAATGTGGAGTGTAGACGAGTAACAAGACCGGACTTCGTGCCCATCATCACTGCAGCCTTGTCACTGCTGATGCCAGAGATCCGACAAAGATCCACCCCAATGGCCTGGTGGTGGGTGAGCAGCAACGCTTGAAGGGAGGCAGCGTCCGCCTTGTCAACTATGAGAAGAGCCAGGTATTCCGTGACCACTCGACACTCGCGGAGAAAGGTTGCGAGCACGATCATGTGCTTCCCGCGACACCTGTCCGTGCTCTCATCCAGGCAGAGCCCGATGAACGGGCTTCGCAGAAGATGCTCCAGTTGAGTTGTCTGAAACCATGTAGCTGTGGACCATGTGAATTCTCCGAAGCCGTACCAACAAACAGCAAAAAACGATTGAGTTAGAGTCATCATGTTAAAAAACACCAAGGACCTTTCATTCAATTTAACAACTCACGAGTTCAGGTAGGTGTCGTAACCTTCCTCGGGGAAGTTCTTGTAAAAACGAGAGGCGAGGTAGCGAGCAAATGTGATCCACGACTCCATTGGTTCGTTTGCCCTACAGCAGAGGTAGAGAGAGCCGAGCAGCACCCGTCAGCCGTTCCCTCTCGAGATTAGCAGCACGGGGATTCTGGTCTCGTCTGTGTCATTGCCTCTTGCAGCAGAGCAGCCTAGTTCCCGTAGGCGAGAGGATGCTTCCCGGTGCCGACGTGTCTAGTGAATGCTTGTATTTGGGCGTCTGAGAGACCAGGGCCATGGCGTCCGCTCTTCCCTGAGAGACTTGCGTGGTCCATACAGAACTGACAATTGAAGGCCAAGAGGCCTTCTTCAGTCTTGACAAGCAAAAGCCAGGGAAAAGCATCGCTCCATTACTTCTTGTACAGTATTTGGTTGTGCGCCTCCACGCACTGCTTGGCTGGGGTTTTGGCTTTCTTTGTAGTCGTCAGTGTGTCGTCCTCTTACTCAGCATCGTCAAAAGCGGGGGTGGACGGTGGAGACACTTTGTGAGGTTGTTTGGGCCGTGCCAATGGGAGAACAGCCTAGTGGTAGCACCCAGGGCGATTAGCAGGTCCAGCCGTGGGCCAGCGATGCTTGACAGGTGCAGGCGCGGAGGGACGGGGTCTAGGTTCGGGGAAAAACTCTACGACTGCCGCGAATACGGAATCGCGAGCGGTATTCTCGTCTGGTTCCTCGACACCGAGACGAGTGGTTCCTCTGAGACGCATGCGAGTATGGCTATACAAAGTCGACAGCAACAGATCCAGGCTAGTCGGCAGCTACATTGCGATGCAAATGGTGGCCAGCGTGCTTCCGGGAGAAAATTCGGCAGCTACATCAATAGGTGCAAAAATCTTCGAGACCTGCTCGGCAAGTGCGAATGAGATCTCAGCAATGAAATCTTTGACACTATTCTCTTGGCTGGACTTGGACCTGAATGGAAGCAGTGCAAGTCCCTTCTTCCCAAGGGAACATCTCTGAAACTTCTCTTTGTGCTACTTTGATGGTAGAGCAGTAGAGGCTAGACTAAGAGCGGTTCTATAAAGGTGAACCAAGTCAAGGGGAGCAAACAAGAGGTCCATCAAGTCATTGGGAGCAGACTAGGAAAGGAAGAAAGGGTTTGGGCAAGTTCTATTAACAAGCACGTCATTATACAGAAGAGTGTCAGAAAATGAAGAACAGGAATCGGGAGAAGTCGGGTGTGGCCGGCCCTGTCAAGACTATCACGCTTCCTTAAGCTTCTTCAATTCAACATGCAAAAGGCAAAGCAAATATTAATTGCATGATTGGTTCTCACTTGTGGAGTGGTATACGCTACTGGAGACGACGAGACAATTGAGACAGCGACAACGACATGGAAGAAGGACCAGATGACTTACCTCCACGTCTTTGCCCTCATTCAAAAACTCCAGAACCAGCAGTCATTGATGAGGAAGAAATGGAACAGCCTACTAGCTTTCCTCAACGTTTGAGTATGCAGCCGTACACCCACATCGCTAAGCGTGCGTACCCTGCGGACCACAATATGTGGTTTGACAGCTGTTGCGGTCACCATATGGCGTCTTCAAATCTCTATCTTCTCAAATGGCGAGACCTACCAAAAGGAGAAAAATATTACCTCACCGTGGCCAACAATCACACAATTGAAGCAACTGCAATCAGGGATGTGATACTGGAATCAGACGACACGAAAGTTTCACTTTACCTTAACAAGGGTCTTGTCGTCATGGAGCTCGGCTTTAACTTGCTATCACAAGCACAGCTGATGGAGAGCGGCATCTGTTCCATCGATGACAAAATGAATTTGGTTGGAATCGCAGAAATCGAAGACGGCGTTTCAGTTTTACGCTTCTCACCTGTAAAAGCATCCGGCGACAGTGATAATAATGTCTCACTCGCTCCTTGGCATCATCACTAGGAGATGAATTGCCAAAGCCAAGATCATCGTGGTCTTAACATCTTTTGCGGCACGCCTCAGCCTTCTCGTACAAACTCCCTTGACGAATCTGCAGCAAAGAACAGAAGCAACATCAGCAGCAGCAGCAGCAAAAATAGGTCAAGCCACATGGGCATCTGAAGATGGCAAATGGGGTTACACTAATCAAGAACCAACATTTGCTACAGTCAAAGAACCTATGGAACTCGAACATACATGGGGAAAGAAAGAATTGATCATACCTGATTCTTGGGCGCGTCGCCGACTCCTCGGTATACCTTGGGCTGAAACTGCAGAAGAAGACGGATTCATCCATCCTTTCAGCACCGGCCGCTGCGTTAACCCTGCGCCAACGATTCATCTTTCACCAGCCTTCTTCCTTCACACCAACTTGTACCTCCGTTCAAAAGGGCACAGGACTACGGCAGAGCATGGCACAAGCGGTTAGGTCATGCCTCACAAGAAGCTCTTAACAACTCATTTATAGCCTCGGTTTTTTACTAGGACGCTCCTAGGACCCATTAGAACCTGCGCCGCCCTGTATACGGTCCGTGCAAGGCACCCTGTAAGTGGCACGACACGCTCCGCACTACACTCGCGGCTCCTCACTTCTTCTCGTCCTCTGCTAACCCTTTGTTCTTTGTTCGTGCTGGTTAGACTCCGCTCTACATACTTGTGTACTTAGGCGACCTTATCTTTGCTACTCCAGATAGAGGCGCACAGGCCTCCGTGAGGCCGAGCTGCTCAAGCGACATACATGTACATACCTAGGAGATTTGCGGCGCTATCAGGGCTTGAAGATCTCTCATGATCGTGCAGCGCGCACGATCACACTCTCCGAGTCCCAGATGGTGCTGCAGATCCTCCGGCGGTTCGGCTTTCAGCTCTCGTCTACACAACCCACGCCCCTGCTTGTGGACCACAAGCTCTCTGCGCTCATTTCCGTTGAGCAGGTCGAGCCTAGTGGTCCATACACAGAGCTGGTGGGGTGTCTCATGTACCTGATGACGTGCACTCGACCAGATCTAGCGTGCCCTCTCAGTATCCTTGCTCGCTTTGTTGCAACTGGTAGACACCGACCGGAGCACTGGTCGGCCGCCAAGAGGGTGTTGCAGTATCTAGAGAGTACATCAGGTTTGGGCTTGTGCTGGGAGGTCGGGAGCCAGTGCTCCTCAGTGGACATACAGACACGTCTTGGGCTGACGACCTGGAAACACGCAGGTCCTCACAGGCCTATTGCTTTAGTCTTGGTGCGGTTGCAGTCTTGTGGAGGTCCACTAGGTCGTCGTCTGTAGCTCATTGCAGTTGTGTGGCAGAGATCTATGCTGAGGCTATGGCCGCTCAGGAGCTCCACTCGCTGAAGTTCTTGCTCACAGACTTAGGTGAGTGGCCTATGGCTGCCCCGGTTCTGTTTGCTGATAACAGGGCCATGATCCTCCTGTGTCAGGAGGTTAGACTTGAGGGCAGGGCAAAGCACATCCAGCTGAGGTACTTCCTGCTGCGTGAGTTGCAGAAGTGCCGTCAGGCTCATGTAGTACAATTGACCCTAGGGCCTCGTGAGACCAACACTGCTGATATCTTCACCAAAGCCCTACGTACGGCCTCGTGACCATCAGCGGTTCTGTACTCAGCCTGGTCTAGTCTCAGTCGCTTCTCCCTTCCTGATCTCTGCTATACTGGCTGTACTTGTAATCTATACCGGTTGTCTTGTTACACTTGCTGATTGGCCTTTTGGCCCTTGTTTCAGTGGTCAGACTAGTAGTGCTGCGCTGAGCTGTTTTTTGTTACATACTCGAGAGGCCAGACTAGTAGTGCTGCCCCGAATCACTGTTTCTTGTTCAGCTCTGTCCCTACCCAGGCTATTTGTATATATGTGTTTAGGTATATGTGAACCGTAGCTTTGCTAGGGTTTAGCTTTGCTAGAGTAGAACACTAAATTATACTCATGTGTTAGAATTGCTCTAGTCAACTTTTCTCTCGACATGATGAAACTCTCTTCTCTCAAAATCATGAAAGTCATATGCGACGCACAGACTGGGGGTAGCTACATACGGTACTACAGCCTCGATTTGTTTGTGGAAAAGTTGCCTACGCCTCAAAATCGCCAAATTTAACCACAAAAGCTTCACAACTAGTGCATTCCACCACATTTACCAGCATCATCATTTGCAAACTCGATCTTATGCATCCCCGGGCCCAATGCTTCTGATTCCGAGCCCTCGTCACGAATGCCAGGGCCAACAGATTCGGGTTCGGGCACACCCTCCAGTGAAGCAAGCGGCTGCATTTTTGGGCCGTTGAGAACGAGAGCCGTGCAAGCCAGGAGGTGCATTCCCAGAATAAGGCAGCACTGGTAACCTATGGACGCACCCACCTGCAGCGTGTGGCACGGGGGTGTGTGTGTGTGTGTGTGTGTGAGAGAGAGAGAGAGAGAGAGAGAGAGAGAGAGAGAGAGAGAGAGAGAGAGAGAGAGAGAGAGAGAGAGAGAGAGAGAGAGAGACGTTAGCAATAAATTTTCACATAGGAATATAATATAAAGCAGGAGTTGCTCCAAGCCACTATGCCTGGCGTGCTGCCCATCTGAACTCAACAAAGATCGTAACGCCCATATCAGGTTTAGGAAGATAAGACAGATCCAGGAGTATTGTAAGTGGAATAGCTCACGTTTTTTGAGACACCTAAAAAATGGCTCACCGTGAAGTTAATGGATAGCTGCTTGAGGCTGTTGATATTTTCTTAGGATTCTCAGTAAACACCTAAAGCAAGATTGGATGGCTTTTGAGTCGACTCAATAGTTTTTTTTGGAGTTCTCAATAAACACCTTCAGCAAGATTGGACGGCTCACCGTGAAGTTATCAATGGATAGCTGCTTGAGCATGGCGTCGCCTGTGGGGCAGGTGACGCTGCCAGGTGGACATGTGAAGGTCAGACCTGAGGCAGGGTGGACATGGCATGGGGAGGTCAGACCTGAGACAGGTGTACATGGTATAGAGAGAGAGACAAGGGGAATGCGGAAGTATGGCACTTCACCACCAGCAGCTAGGCGGTGGGCAACTCATCCCCGCCTAGCGCCAGCTAGGTGCGAAGGCCATATAAAGACGCCTCTAGATGCGTTTAGTGCACGTGTCACCTGCACGCTGAAAAGCAGCCCATTACGTGATACTGCGTTGACAAAAAGGCATGACTGCCTGTCAGCTCACGTGCCATATCATTGCCAGCTCACCTGCCAGATCATCACCAGCTCACCTGCCAGAGCATTGCCAGCTCGACTGCCAGATCATAGACAGCTCACCTGCCAGCTGGTTGACAGAGAGGCCCACGAAGCCCCACTGGATGGGCGAGATGTAGCGCACCCATCGAATCCACACAGGAATGGAGTCGAGATTCACAAGCAGCCCTCCGAAGAGAATGAGCACCACCATGAAGAGCGGCGCTAGCGCCAGCGCGAGCTCAGGCGTGGGGGCTAGAGAGCCGATCTGGCGAGGAGAGACAGGTGCGGACAGAAAAACAGATCGGCAAAAAGCCATCGTCCGAAGAGAATGAGCGGCACCATGAAGAGCGGCGCTAGCGCCAGGACGAGCTCGGGCGTGGGGGCTAGAGAGTCGATCTGGCGAGGAGGTAAGGGGGGGAGGGAGGGGGGGAGGGGGTTAGGGGAGAGGGGAGGCTAGGAGTCCAGGTTTGCAAGTAACCCTCCAAAGAGAATGCGCAGCACCATGAAGAGCGGCGCGAGTACCAGGGCCAGCTCTGGCGTGGGGGCGACAGCCGATCTGTCGAGGAGGGAGGATGGTGGGGGATGTGGAGTGGAGGGGAGAGGAGGGGGGAGGTAAGAGGAGAGTGAAAGAGCAGCTTTCTTTGAAAAGGGTGAGATCACAAGGGCTCGGCTACACAGAATGGTGGTGCTTCAGGCAGCGTAACTTCTGAAGCTGGCAGGCCAAGGCAAGATTGTCCGCGGGGAAATACGGCTGTTAATACGGCGGGGAAATACAATTTACAATTTACTCTAATTACATCCGAAAGTTCACATGTGTCATGCTGAGCCACTCACCAACATGCCGAGCCACTTACCAACATGCCGAGCCACTTACCAAAATGCCGAGCCACTCACCAGAATGCCGAGCCACTCACCAGAATGCCGAGCCACTCACCAGAATGCCGAGCCCGTTCATGGCAGTAAACTCGAGGAGGCAGATGAGGAGGAAGAGGAAGAACTTGGAGGCGACCTGTTGGAACTCAACCGGCCAATAGACGATCACGGCAAAGATGATCACGGGGCCGATGCGGATGGGCCACTCCGAGAGCACCTTGGCGGGGTAGTAGGCGGAAATGCGGTAACTGTTGGACGCGCGCTCGCGGTTGATGACACCCTTTTCCAGAGGGAAGGTGGTGATCATCTGGATGGGGAGATTGGCATGGGGATGTTGGGTTTGAAGAACGGTGACTTTTGAGTCGACTCAAAGCTGGTGATCATCTGGGTGGAGAGGTTAGCATGGGGTTGTTGGTTTGAAGAAAGGTGGGAAAAACCCAGGGTTCTTTCAAAAGGTAAGGTTGCGGAAAGGCAAGAGTGAAATATGGTATGAGCGTACCACTTTCAAACAGTGTTGAACGGTAGTGACAAGGGCTGGCCATTGGTGAGCAGTGTACATTGATGTCAAATATGGTGAATCTGACCAATGTTTCACCGATATTTACCAATGTTCACTATTGCTCACAAATGTTGACCAGTGTTCACCAACGCTCACCGATGCTCATGAAAGTTCCCACAGTGTGACGCTGGTCACCTGGAGCAGCCCGTTGAGGGCAAGGAAGAGCGAGACGATGAAGAGAGAGCCGGTCATATTCTGCTGCGGGCTGTCAGAGGAGTTGGAGAAGAGGATGGAGACCACCGCCATCATGAACACCGCCTGTGGGATGGCAGCAGGAGGAAAGGGCGGAATTCAGTGTGCATACCGAAAGAGCTTTAGCATCGGGATGTGAGGAATCCGAGTTCGATGAATTTCAATAACCTTAAAGAAAGCTACTGAAATGAAGATACTTGATATAGAGTTGCTCTGATTGGCTTCCTGTGCAGTGCACACAAGCAACGCCAACTTCTGATTTTCTTACACAACTCAAAACTCACCGGAGAATAGGCAACGCCGACAGGGATCCGATCCCTGGTGACGAAAAGGCTCGTTTTTTTTTTTTTCAGACAAAATAAAGAACTCACCCGAACATAGGCAACGCTTTTGAGTCGACTCAGACACCCACCTGAATATAGGCAACGCCGATAGGGATCCGGTCCCGCGTGACCTGGCGCCACGACCGCCTCGCCAGCACAGCAAACTGGGTCACCCACGAGGACGCGTACTTGGAGTACTTCTCCCCCCCCGCTTCTGCAGCCTGCTCCGCTATCCGCTGCTGGTGCTGCTCCATGCTGACCTCCGGCGAGGGCGTGAAGGCGTCTGCCAGCTGCTGGATGCGAGCCGTGCTGGTCATCTCCCTTTCTTTGTCTCGGTGGTCCACTGAGATCACGTCCAGGTAGAAATCAGCTGCAGGGGAAACGGTGGGAGCGCAGGATGAGGAGACGCGGGTGATTGGGGAGGGGTGTGACTCAACAGTCACCTCGAAACGGTGGGAGCAACGGTTCAGGAGAAATGGGTGATGGGGGAGGGGGAGGGGTCAGGTGGAGCAGGATAGGAGGCATGGGCACTGAACGAAGGGGGCGAGGGGGTGTGAGTGAAATGAGGGGGTGTGAGTGAAACGAGGGGGTGTGAGTGAAATGCTGGGTGGCAGTAGATTTTTCTTCTTGGAAGGTGACCAATACCACCTCCACTCGTTTGTTTCGTCTATCATACGGAGGGCGGAATACTCCTGGATCAGCGGTGGCAAGTGCCCTTGCTTTTCTTTTTTCCTTGGTAAGCCTGAAGTTCCACCAGCAAAGCGTGAAGTCGGAAAATAGCTTTGCAGCTCGAGACACATCACACAACCGAAGGGCCCGGGGGGGGGGGGGGGTGGGAGGGGTGCGAAGTAATGTTCACCTAATCCTGCAGAAGGATTTAAGAAGGACGAGAAACCTATTTAAAAAGGCACAGTTCGCACACTACAGAAGACCAAAACAACACTAACCAAGGTTGAAATGCAAGTGGTTATTGTTGTGTTCGGCGAGGGATGACAGGAAGACACACTAGGCAGGCGACGCCACGGCAAGAGGAGCAGCACTCACCAGGGTTGAAGTGCCCCATGGCAGGCGACGGTGATTTTTGAGTCACCAGAGGAGCACCACTCACCAGGGTTGAAGTGCTCCGGGCAGGCGAAGCCGCAATGAGAAAAGTACCCCATGGCCTCTGCTGCTGGGCCGAAGAACACTGCCCTCCCTTCGCTTAGCAGCAGAAGATTCTCAAACTGCACAGGAACGCCACATGAGAATGTGAGCGGGGCTGGTGCATGGTGGAGCCACAACCCCATGCAGGCATAACCCAGTGCGGTGATTTATGAGGGCGAAGATGGGGGAACTTGGCTGGTGGATGGTGAAGCCACAACCCCAAGCAGGCATGACCCCATGCAGGCATGATCCAACATATGCATGTCGGGATTCACGACTGCAAACATGGGGGATCTTGGCTGGTGCATGGTGGGGGCGACAGAGCACGCGCAGACAAGGGGCACCACCTCACGACTGCAAACATGGGGGATCTTGGCTGGTGCATGGTGGGGGCGACAGAGCACGCGCAGACAAGGGGCACCACCTCACGACTGCAAACATGGGGGATCTTGGCTGGTGCATGGTGGGGGCGACAGAGCACGCGCAGACAAGGGGCACCACCTCACGACTGCAAACATGGGGGATCTTGGCTGGTGCATGGTGGGGGCGACAGAGCACGCGCAGACAAGGGGCACCACCTCACGACTGCAAACATGGGGGATCTTGGCTGGTGCATGGTGGGGGCGACAGAGCACGCGCAGACAAGGGGCACCACCTCACGACTGCAAACATGGGGGATCTTGGCTGGTGCATGGTGGGGGCGACAGAGCACGCGCAGACAAGGGGCACCACCTCACGACTGCAAACATGGGGGATCTTGGCTGGTAGCACGCGCACGGCTGGTGGATGGTGGATGGTGGGGACGACGGAGCACGCGCAGACAAGGGGCACCACCTCATAGCACGCGCAGACAAGGGGCACCACCTCATAGCACGCGCAGACAAGGGGCACCGCCTCATAGCACGCGCATGGCTGGTGGATGGTGGATGGTGGATGGTGGGGACGGCGGTTCAAGCAGTAACCAATATACCCGCCGCCGCCACCACCGCCATCACAACCCACTCACCAGCGCGAAGATGGAGGATCTTGGCTGGTGGATGGTGGAGACTCATGAGGGGGAATGTGCTCACAAGGGCGAAGATGGAGGATCTCGGCTGGTGGATGGTGAATGGAGGAGATGGCAATGCTTACAAGGGCGAAGATGGAGGATCTCGGCTGGTGGATGGTGGAGACGACAGTGCGGCCGCTCTTGGAGAGGTCCGAGAGGGCGCTCATCACGTTGAGCGCCTGGAAGCTGTCCAGCCCGGACGTGGGCTCGTCTGGGGGGTGGGGTGGGGGGGGGGGGAGGAGAGGGGCAGGACGGGCAATAGGTGGTACACGCTTTTAAGGGAACCATGCGCTCATGAGAGAGCGCTCTCAAAACGTTGAGCTCCTGGAGGCTGTCCAGTGGTTATTGCAGAATGGTTACATCTCTGCCCGGACGTGGGCTCGTCTGGGGTGGGGGAAGAGTGAAATTTTGCAGTCAGTACTGCTGTTCAAGAGTATTTGTTGGAATGAGTACTGTTCAATCAGCAACAATATTCATGGATGCCAGCCATTCTGTTTTTCTTCTCCATGTTCTCCATCTTCTCCATGTTCTCCATGCTAACCATAGTTCACCATGACTTACCGGTTTTCGGTGTATCAATGTCCGTGCAAGCAAACGCACCAAGGAAGACGAGCGATGGGTCGGAGAGCATTTCGACTGCGATGTTGGTTCTCTTCCTCTCGCCCCCACTCACTCCCCGGATCCTCTCGTTCCCGATGGGTGTGTTGCGTGCATTCGTCAAGCCTGGAGCGTTGTTGGGCGGTGGGCGGTGGGCGGAGGGAGGAGGAAACCGTCAAACTCATGGGCGGATGTGAGAGGGTGGATAAATGGAGGGATGGGCACATAGTGGCATGACATGGCATAGACTGGCGTGAGATGGCATAGCATAGCATGAGATGGCATAGACTGGCATGAGATGGCATAGCATGGCATGAGATGGCATAGACTGGCAGGAGATGGCATAGACAGGCATGAGATGGCATAGCATGGCATGAGATGGCATAGCATGGCATGAGATGGCACGCAATTTGATGGGACTTGATGAGATGTCTTGAACGGACGTAGTGAGCAGAGGCGCCTCAAACATCTAGAACGGAGGTAGTGAGCAGCAGAAGCATGGAGGCAAGAATGGGAGGCAAGAATGTTCTGTAAATGGTCTGGGAGGCGCACCAAGCTCGGTGATGATGGACTCGGCGAGCTGCAGCTTGCGTGCCTTGGGCGTGGAGGAGGGGAGGCGCAGCATGGCGGCGGTCTGCAGCGTCTCCCACACGGTGAGCGTGCTGAACATGAGGTCGTCCTGCATCACGTACGCCGATATGCGCCGAAAACTCTTGTCCCTGGGGCGGCCGTTTACCAGCATCTGCCCGGCTAGGGACGTGGGCGCGCCCGTGCGCATCACCCGCCCTGCCAGCACGTTCAGCAGGCTTGTCTTGCCGCAACCTAGGAGATTTTAAAGAGGGAGGTGATTGAGGTCATTGCGGGAGGGGAATGCGGAACTCTGGAGCCATTTTAACCAGTCCTGCCCAGTGACTTGTAGTCGACTCAAAAGTCAGTATTGCTTTTGAGGCGCCTAAAAAATAGATCAATAAGGAACCCTGGAGCCGGACTATTTAGTATTTTACAATCCTGCCCAGCGCGACCTGGGGGAGGGGAGGGGAGGGTTGTGGGGTGTTGGCCCACCAGAGAAACACGACCATTTCGCACAGTGGTAACAGCTTCGTTTCCAACAATGCCTTGGCGAACCTCTCAAGACAGCGCCTTGATGATTCATAGAAAAACGCACACCTAAAAGAAGTGGAAACGTTAGATGGGCGAGGAACGCACGTGAGGGAATGGAAGACGGGAAGAGGTGGGGAAGGATTGAAGGGAAAGCTGGAGAGAAGAGAACTGACCTGAGGGGCCCATGATCGCAAGGAACGTGCCCGCCTTGACGTAGCCCGTGAGGTTGTCGAGGATGAGCTTCTGCGTCTTCGCCTTCCCTCGCCCCAGCGTCACGGTGTACGTCACGCCCTTGAACGCCAAAGACACCGGGTGGAAGCGAGTTCCGGGCGCTGAGGCCGCCGCCTGGATAGTCGCAAGGGGAGAATGGCAGGAGGAAGGAGATTAACAGGTCGACCGTGTACGTCCCGCCCTTGAGCGCCAGCGACACCAGGTGGATGCGAGTACCGGGCGCTGAAGCAGCCGCCTGGGCGATTTCAAGGGGAAAGAGCGGGCGAAAAGTGGGGAATGCTGATTCGACCGTGTACGCCACGGCCTTGAACGCCACAGACACCGGGTGGAAGCGAGTTCCAGGAGCAGAGGCCGCCGCCTGAGCGATTTCAAAGGGGGGAGGAGGAGATGGTTGTTCGAAAAGGCCTGGCGACGCCCCAGCGTCACCGTGTATGTTACGCCCTTGAACGCCAGGGCGAGCCAGAAACACAAGGCGCCGGGCGCGACTTTTGAGGCGCTACTAATACTGCTAGATTTTAGTGCAAGTGGCGGCGCGTACTGGTTTCAAACCGTCGAATCGGCGGCGATGTGCTGATTGGAATTGAATGTGCTGATTCGATGAGCTAATTACAGCCAGTTATTATCTTGAAGCTACCAGTGCTACCGTAAGGTGACTTTTTTCTTACCGAATTCTAGGGTCAGTTTTTTAGGCGCCTCGAATACTAGGGTCGCAAAGTTGAAGTAGTACCTACGCATCCCGAATGACGTAATTGAGTCAGAAAATCTAGCAGTATGGTGATCTTCTATTTTAAACTGGTGAAATTCCTCATCCTGAATGTTTTTTTTTTTTTGTCGAAAAGAAAATCACCTACATCCTGAATATCCTAACGGGCGGGTGACCGTTCAACGGCGAGCTACCTCAAACAATTGAAGTGGTGCGGGTGCGGTTAATCTAGCCGTTGAAAATATTAGGCGACTCAAAAATCACCCACGGGCGGTTGAACTTTCCTAGGAACTAATAGTAGTACTACCTCAAACAAGGAGCGGGGCTGGTGCGGGTTTTCCGGCCGCTGCGCGTCGTCGGGAGGAACTTCGATGCTGACCGCCTCGCCCAGTTCAACATCCGTGGGGGCGCCATCACTCGCGTCCGCTTCCCCCATTGGAGCCCACCGAGGGTCGACTATTACTAACAGCGCGGCTCGTGAAGTCGCAAATTTCTGCTACTACTAGGTGTCAATCTCTAGGTGACTTAAAGAGAGCGAGCTACCAGGTAAGGTCGCTGAAACCGCTCGAAAAGCAAAAACTTCTGAGGCCTATCTGTCTGCGTAACCGAATCAGCTTGCGTGCTAGCCTAGTGAGTTGTTCTAGTAGTAGAAGCTCTTGAACAACTCCTCACGGCCCTTACTCCGGGCATATTAGACTATGGCTCTTGCTGAGGGGGGGCTGGCGGAAAGGGGAAAACATAAAGGCGATGGCAGGGGAGGGAGGCGAGGGGGGGGGGCGCTTGGGTTGGATTGGGCGTAAATTTCTCGAGGACAACTGACGCCAGAAATCGAAGCGCACCACCGCTTTCGTTTGGTTCCAGGCGTGAACCGCGCGTCGCTGTATTCCAGGTCAGCAGGGCTGCCACGCGAGCGCTGAACTTCTTTTTATGGCTGTCGATTAAAAAAATTATCGCAAGATGTGTGCTATCCTCGCCGTCGAATCTGAATCCTGCGTGGAGGGGGAGGCTTGTCGCGTCATGCGAGCGTGGGAATTCGATCGCGACGCGCATGCTGATTGGTTGGGTGGCGACTTGTCAACGAGGCGTGGAATATGAAATCACTAGGAAACGACATTCGGTGAACACCTTAGTCTCACTGTATATATTTAGAACCAGTTTGCTCAACTAAAATTTTATACTTAAGCTCTCAGCAGATGCTGTCTCCACATGCTACAAGCTGGCCCACTACAATACAACAGCATCAACCTCGTCAGGCCTCGATCTGTTGCTGCCTCCTCTAACTTTTTTCTTCTTTTTCTTCCCATCAGTACCACCACTCACAGCACCACCACCACCGCTCCCCTTCGCTCCATCCTCCCTCGTAACCGGCAACCCCCCAGTAGAGAACCCCGGGCGTTCAAACACTGTAGCATAATCGAACACCATGGCCTCCCTTACAGTCACACCCACTCCCTCGAACGTCCACACTTTGAGTTTCGCGGTGCCCTTGATCCCCACGCCCACCCACCCCAGCCCGGCAATCGCCACATCCGTGCTGCTCTGGTCCCACCGTGTGCCCTCCACTGTAACGGAACGCGGTAACCACACTCCAAGCTCCCCCATGCGGGATGCCTGTGCTGGCGGCTGGGAGACAGAGGTGGTTACGCGGGAAAATGGGGAAAAAGAGCGTAGGTGTCTTTTGAACGGAGTCGACTCAGAAGTCACCTAAATGGGCAACGAGCAACGAGCAACGGGAGAGAGAGTCATCCACAGGCCAAGCTCCCCCATAACGGATGCCTGTGCTGGCAGCTGGGAGTGCTCAAGCACATAGTTGGGGAAAGAGATAGACCAAGGGTCGCACTGGTACTTGCAATCATCATCACAATACTTGCAGTTTGTCCCCATGTGCTTTTCCAGAACAGCAGGGGCGTTCCCAGAGCAAAAACCCCGAGAAATGGGCGCCAACATGATCACCAGCACCATATCTGCAATCATGATCACCAGCACCATACCTGCAATCATGATCACCAGCACCATACCTGCAATCATTATCACCAGCTCCATACCTGCAATCATGATCACCAGCACCATACCTGCAGTTTGTCCCCCATCTGACCAGAATTTTCTCTTGGCTGTGCCTGCAACCACCACACCTACAACCTTATAACCAGCACCATACCTGCAACTTGTCCCCCACGTGCTTCTCCAGCACAGCAGGGGCGGTCTCAATCTTGCCCATGTGGCACGCTATCATTGGTGAGAGCCACGCTGTCAGGTAGATGGACTCCGCTGCTGCCTGCTCCACGTCCACCCTCGCCAGCCCGCCCATCAGAACGCACTGCCCTGGCTGTAAGGGGGAGGGAGAGGGGGAGAGTTTTGCAGCACGAGGAAGAGAGGTGGGGGCGTGTTTGGGTAGGTGTCAGGTAGATGGACTCCACTGCTGCCTGCTCCACGTCCACCCTCGCCAGCCCGTCCATCTGTATGCACTGCCCTGGCTGCAAGCAAGGGGAGGGGGGGAGGGGGGGCTGGGTTCCGCGGGTGAGGCAGCGCAAGGGATGGGGGGAGGAGGGGTGGGTGGGGGGGGGGGGGGGGGCGTCACGTCCACCCTGGCCAGCCCGCCCATCAAGATACATTGCCCAGGCTGCAAGGGGAGTGGCGCGGGGGAGGAGGGGGTGAGGGAGGGGAAGATGTGCAACAGCACAACGGAGAAGAGGGGGGGGGGGGGGGAGGAGTGCGTAAGGTAGATGGGGACTCCGCTGCGGCCTGCTCCACATCCACCCTCGTTAGCCCGCCCATCAGGATAGTGTCAGCCGCACAGACAGCTGGTGCGGGCGCAGCAGGCCCCGAGTGTCCATCACTCTGGCCCTGACCCGATCCCCACCTTCCAACCCCTCTCACCTTGATTCTCAAAGTGTGGGGCTTGAGCGCCTTCTTGAGCACAATCACCTTGAGCTCGTCTCTTGTGAGCCGCACTGACACCTGGTGGGGGTGCAGCAGGCCCAGCGTGTCCATCACGCTGGCTCTCCCCCCCACACCCTACCCCCGACACCCTTCCCAACACACCCTCCCACTCACCTACACCCTACCCAATACACCCAAACACCCCTTACCTTGATGCGGAATGTTCTAGGGTTGAGCGCCTTCTTGGGCACCACCACCTTCAGCTCATCCCGTGTGTGTGAGCCGCACAGACAGCTGGTGCGGGTGCAGCAGGCCCGGCCCGGCGTGTCCATCACCCTCTCAATAAACCCCCCACCTTAAACCTTAAAGGCCCAAAACCCCTTTAAGGCCCGAACCCCCTTCACCTTGATTCTGAAAGTGCGCGGTTTGAGCGCTTTCTTCGGGACAACCACTTTCAGCTCGTCCCGTGTGAGCCGCACGGACAGCTGGTGCGGGTGCAGCAGACCCGGCGTGTCCATCACCCTGGCCCGCCCCCCCAGCACCCCTTCGATCGGCACCACCCCTATCGTCGTCCCAGGCACCCACGCCTCAGTCAACCCCACCCCTCCCACTCCCCCTCCCCCCCCTCCTCCTCCCTTCTTCGATCTCTTCCCCCCTGCCCCCTGCCCCGCCTTCCCCCCTCCTTTCCCCCCCTTTCCTGCGCCTTTCACAGCAGCAGCCAGGGCGTTAATCAGAGAGGATTTTCCAGCATTCTGCGCCCCCACCACCCACACGTCTCCCCTCGGCCCGGCTAGCGCTGCCAGCTGGCCTGCCAAGTGTCCCACCCCAAACCCAGTCTTGGCCGATAGGAGATGGAGCGATGTGAGACGAGGCAAGCCGCCCGCTTTGGCCCGCCGGCGAATCCACTGCTCCAATCTGAGCGGGGAGATTTGGGGCGGCAGCAGGTCGGCTTTATTTGCCGCAAGGATAAGACGAAACGTGTTGCTGCCGCCCGGAGGTCCTGCTGCTTTCCCATCCGCCTGAGATTCTTTCCACTTGCCCGCAGCCTCGGCTTCTGCCCGGGCTAAAAGTTCGGCTGCCCGGCGCGGGAAGGACCCGTCGAAATCCGCAGCGTCGACAACCACGAGGACAACTGCCCGGCGACCATAAGCTGCCCGGAGGCGCTGCCCGACCGCCCTCTCGAAATCAAAGTCGGGCAGGAGATTCTCCACGCTCTCGTCTTTCACCTGCCCGTAGTTTCTCAACGCGTGACACCTGGCACAGACCACCAACTTCCCGTCTTTCATCTGCCCTTCCTCCTCCTCCGCCTCCTCCTCCTCTCCCTCCACAACCCCTCCCCGCATCCAATCACCCCCCCTCTCTCCCCTCGCCCCCTTCCCTCTAAAGTCTCCCTTAATAAGCTCTTCTGCTCCGTTTCTTCCGAGCTGTTTCTCCCATGCCTTGGCCCATGCCTCCTCGTCAAATAACTCATCCTCCTCCTCATCCTCATCATCATCCTCATTGTCATCATTAACGCCCTTTCTGCCGCTTTTCCTAGAAGCTTCTGCAGCCAGGTCAGCATCGAGATAGTTGTCCGCGTCGAATTCCTCGAACCCCGACTCCACGTCAGCATCGTCCACCTCATCGACAGGAAGCTTCGCCTCCACAAGTTTTCCCGGGCTGCCCCGGCTCTTCAGATCAAACTCGGTCCACATAGCCGTTTTTTTCCTGCCCGCGCCTTCTTCCTCTTCTTCTTCCGCTAAACCCTCTAAATCTTCCCACTCCGCTTCCTCTATCCCCTCGTCGTCCCCTAAACCCGGAACCTCGGCGGATTTAGCGGGGTCAAGCGCAGCAGGGAGGACGAAAAACCCCGGCAGTTTCGGATCATCGCTCTGCATGGTAACGCCGCAGCCCGGGCAGATTCCTGGCACCTTCCCAGAAACTTCACCCGTGCCTTCCTCTCCCCCACCTTCCGCTGAAGCGCCAGCACCACCCGCCCTCGCAGCCAACCGTTTTCCGTGGTCGCTTGCAGGATTCGAACCAGCGACCTTTCGGCTTCCGTCAGGCGCCTTCAAGCCCTGTGGAAAAGTCCTGACGAACCCTCGAGATTGCGCGCACTGAAAAAAGGCGGAAGGCGACACAAGTCCGCGGCTCCAGGATGGGGTCAAAGCGGCGCGAGCGGGAAGGCAAGGGCTAGTGTGGGTGATGGGAGACGAGGAGAGCGTTAGCAGGGCGGGGAGGAGCGACGATCGCGGCGTGGGAGACGGCGCGGGTGCCCGGCTGAGGCCATGGCAGCAACCGGCGCCAGACGCGAAAGCGCGTAGCGCGCCCATTAGTGGCCGGCGGAACGATCCGGATGAGGTGAGGAACGTCAGCATGCAGTGGACTTCCGGTAGCGAAACCACGAAAGCGAAATAACCAGGCTGTACTAATTCTTGGAAAACCACGATAGGACGAGTGAGGAGCTGTCCCACTGAATCGAGACTCGGTTTTTTCGGTTGGGTTCGGTTGATTCTGGTCCCATAAGACCACATTTATGTTGTATAAAATATGAGAAGGCGGCTAAGAACCCCTTTTAGAGGGTTTTAGGAAAAAGCGGCAGAGGTCTGTAAAGCGTATGCTAATGTGCGGGGGGAAGGGGGGGGGGGGACTGTTGACATAGTGATGGTGGTGGGCTAGGCTGGGCTGGGCTGGGCTGGGTGGGCGGGTCGTATTTGACACATCGAGGCGCGCCAGCAATCCCCACAATTCCCCACAGGTTCCCTTCCCAAGGTGCGAGGCGGGAGCAGCTGGATTGGGTGGCCGAATACGAGATTGGCATTCACCATCGCAAATACTTCTCGCCAATCATGCACAGTGTGGAATTACCGCTCGCGAAAATAGTCCACTCTCACCTCGGCCACCCGCCACTGTTCGCCAATGCACCATTTCTCCCAACCCACACACATCACACCATCAGCACAAAAATGCTAGTGCGAGTTTCAAGAATGAAAGCCAGACACACATACGAACACACAACGAACTCAGCCTTCAGTATTCTAGCGCTCCTTTCTCAACCCTGCCTTCATTCCAACTGACTCTCTCCTCTCTATTCCCACGATGGCTTTGAGGTTCACTGTCGTTCTCGTCGCCCTTCTAGCAACCATGACCCTGTGCCACGGAGGTCGCCCGTTCCTGTCAGCGCTCCTTGCCTCCGACCCCTACGTCGCGCAAACAATTGGAATCGAAGCGTGGAACGACAGGCAGCCAGTTGATGTCGACACCGACAACACCGCCATTGTTTCTGGAGGTGAGAGTCTCCATCTTGTCGAGTAGGCTCGTTTTTTGTTCTTGTTTTTTTTTTTAACCCAACAGTCGCGTGCTCGACTCCGCCCCCACGCTTTTCTCCAGTGAAACGTTTTCCTAACGCGTGCTTTCCGTCGTCATTCCCCCCCCTCACCCTTTTCTTCCAGCTACCCAGCTCGTCCCCGATGCGTCTGACAACGACAACGTGGCATCGGCAAGGCCCAGGATGCGAGCTGGCGTGGAGAGCGATACCCTCAGAATCACCTTCATCCCCGCCGCGTCCACCGCCGATAACACCGCTTCTGCTACCACGTCCGCTCCGACGATCGTAGATGACCCCACCGATAACACCGCGTCCGCTGCATCTGGGTCTGCTGCGACGATCGTAGACGACCCCACCGATAACACCGCATCCGCTGCGTCTACTGCCACGGTTGTCGTCGACGACCCCACCGATAACACGGCCGCTGCTGCCACCACTACTGCCGAGGACGCAACCGCGACGGCGTTCGTGTCGCTGCCCGGGTCCGACAACGTGATCGCGGCGTTCGGCGTGCCGCGCAGAAAGGGGTCCATGGTCGCCGTCATTGACGACCCGACCGACAACACCGCGTCGGCTGCATCCTCCTCAATTGTCGTCGACGACCCCACCGACAACACCGCGTCTGCTGCGACGATTGTCGTCGATGACCCCACTGATAACACCGTGTCTGCTGCCACGTCTGCCGACACGATCGTAGACGACCCCTCCGAGAACACCGCTTCTGCTGTCACCAGCGAGGAGGCAACGACGACGGCGTTCGTGTCGCTGCCCGGGTCAGACAACTTGATCGCGGCGTACGGCGTGCCCGGCCGCGTGGAAGGCATGCTGGTCGTGGCGGACAGCGCGCAGACCATCTAAGTCGACCCTGCTAGCCATCAGATGGATGGAATCGACCCTGCTAGCCGTCAGATGGATGGAATCGACCCTGCTAGCCATCAGAAGGATGGAATCGACCCTGCTAGCCGTCAGACGGTTGGAATCGCGGAGCTGTGACAGTTCGCTCATCATATGGTGTTCTGCTGTTACTTAATCTCCCGAAGACACTCTTCACCGCCCCTTAGAGGACGTAGCGGGGTCTAGAGGTCACGCGATGCTGCAGCTCACTTTCGAGCCCTTAGGCGGTTGCCTCGTTATGGGGAGTTCTGAGAGGCAGCTTGCCCAATAAGCAGCTAATGTCCACCTTTCTGCTTGTATTGTGCCTTGTGTTCAACCTACAACACATTTATGTATGTATGTTTTTGTCTCTACCACGAAGATAAAGCCATTTATGTTCAGCTAATTATGTAGCTCCACAATTCGTCACTAAAATACAGCAGCAGAAGAGACTCGGGTGGACACTTGAACATGAAGTTAGAAATACAGGAGATAGGAATTGGACGTTCTTGCAATCATGATGATGCGATCTTCGTGGCATAGAATATGTAATCGCGTGCAAGGTCACTCGCATCGCTGTGACCAAACCAGATTCCGAACGCTTTCAACTTTGACGAAAAGGTGCACTCTATAACGAAGAAACTTCTGCTTGCTCCATTGAGTCCCTGTGCTCTTGCGATTCGCCAAAAGCTCACACTGCCATCCCACACTCGACGGACCGCATTTTGCTAGGGGGTTTCTTTCTGCCTATGGCCTCAACGCGACTCCGCAACACATGCCCCCACACGAACCCACGAAATCCACCTGTATCGAAATCTGGCGCGGTTCGGCCATAAATGCCCACCATCGTGCATTTCTGGCTGGAATTTGACTGCCAGTCGTCATACACTCTCCCCTCTCGTCCCTTCCCTCGAACATGTGGAAAAGGCCTTTTCCTGGTGTTCCTGCTTCAAAATCACATTGCCACTGGCACCTACCCCAGTGTTCCCCTATTCGACGCTGTCTTACACACCAGTCCTCAGCCGCTCACGTGGTTTTACGTACAGAGACTAGAGCCAGCGACTAGCGCGGGCCGCTTACCAAAGCTACACGTTTCCGCAGGAGCGTTAACGTGACTGCATTTCCCCGCGAACTGCCATGGACATTCGAATTCAAGCTCTTCTACTTTATCTCCTCACCTCTCCGTGTCTCTCCCACGCTTCGCGCCCATGGCGATCGGCGGGCTCGATCACCCCGTCAGTACAAGCCGCGACGTCAGGCTCGGATTCCGAGCCGCTCGGTCTCGACGACCTTCGCCCGGATCCCACCGGCTCCGTCGTCGAGTCAGTTGCGACGGCGCTTTCGGCGTGGGATGACGACGACAATAACCTCAGCGGCATGGCGGGCGACAGCGTGGCGGCAGCGGCGGCGGCGGCGGCGGGCGGAGCTCGTCTTGATTCGAATGGCCCTGTGACGGAAGGCTGGAGCGAAGACGGAGGGTTGGAGGCGGACGATGACAGCTCGAACGTGGTTGTAGCGGGACAGAACAGCGTCGTTACTTTTAGCGAAGGTGTTCTTGTAGCGGATGAGACCCCCACGGCTGTAGCGGAGGGCGAGCCGGCAGGTGACGACGTGGGGGAACGCGACAATGTGGCTGTAGCGGGGCAAAATTCTGTCGTGCTTCTCGCGGAGGAAGCCCGAGCCGGCACAACAGACACAGCAATCGATAGCGCCGCGGACATGCGCAGCCAGTCAGCAGACGTGGCGGAGAACTTACTGACTGTAGCCGCGGCGGAAGTGGCGGCGGAGGGGCCTGCCAAAGAGGCGTCCGCGGAAGAAGTCCCCGAGGGGGGTGCAAAAGAGGCGGCGGCGGAAGAGGCTGCGGAGGGGCAGGACATTGCGGCGGAGGTGGAAGCGGCGGCGGAAGAAGCAGCCGCTGTAGCTGCTGAGGCTGCGGCTGTAGCCGCAGCTGACGTGGAGAAATCTGATGCTTACGCGGAAACTTCTGTAGCAGCAGAAGCTGAGTCGGCAGAGGCAGAGACGGCAAAGGGGGAGACGACAGAGGCGAGGACGGCAGAGGCAGGGGCGGCAAAAGCGGAGACGGCAGAGGCGGAGACCGAGCAAAACCCAGGTTGGAATTCTGACACACAACAATTCGAATTTGACGGCCAAGCGACTGACGCACCCCCCAGCGGCAGTGACAGCGGAACCGGTATTTCTGACGGCGACGGTGAGGAGGGTACCGCCGTTGTGAGGACTCTGGACGATGGGCCGACGGCAGAGGAGATCTTACCAGAGGCGTTGGAAGGATCTGAAGCAGACACCGGGGGGTTGTCCGCGCAGTAAAGGCTGGGGTGGGTTTTTGGGTCGACTCAAACGGGTAGCGCTGCTGCGAGGATTCTAAACGGCAGAAGAGATTTTACCGGAGGAGTCGGAGGGTTCTGAAGCAGAGACGGGGTTGTCCGTGGCGAAGGGGCTGGGGTGGGTTTTTGAGTCGACTCAAGCATGTATGGCTGCTGTGAGGAGATGAGAGGAGGGGCTGACGGCAGGAGACCCTATCCTACCCGACGAAATTGAGGGTTCTGAACTGAAGCAAGGACGGGATTGTTCGCGCACTAAACGCTGGGGTGAGGGAACAACCACAGCGAATAAACGAAGGGGATGTTTTTATTCGTTACGTTACCCTTCGGAGGGCCAAAGTTCTGAATCTTCAGAATTGTGGAGATACCTTAAGGAACACGCATTTTTCCTGATTTTTAATAATGAGTAGCATGTTTACAATATGTTGTAAGCAATTGTTTACATAGGTCGTGGAAATTCCACTTTTTCCATTACATTTTATGGACAGTTCATACATAGTTTGACACTTCAAGGGGCCTTCCAATCAATAAAACCACTCTACACCACATACGGATACATTAGAGTAGAGTGTCAAAATTATATAAGTTATAATTTAATATAGGCTTGGTAGGTTGTTACTGAACCTTTCTGTAGGGGGTACAAACCCCTCCTTGTACTCCCCTCTCTTCCTAATCCAACCACCTTTCTTCTCGACATCCTCTCACCTCCTAGATCCGTTTTTCCTCACGCCATTCCATGGCGGTCTTCTTCCTAGTAACCTAGCCAACCTAGCCTCCTAAGTTTAAGAACCTTTAGTCCCAAGTTTCTAAGATAGAGCAACTGATACCATATCAAAGTGAGAATGAATGACTAGAATGATGCAAACAGGTTGGTTTTGTCTAAGGGGTTGTACCCTCTAAGATTACATACATATCTCGCCTATAAGACATATACAAATATGTTTGACACACCCCCTACGCTAGATGAGTGGCAGTGCCAGTCAACTTATACATACGGTATTAGCTATGTAGAAGTTATAGGCTAGACTGGGGTATGCTACTAGTGAGTACAACCAACTAGTATTTGTTCTAGGTTTCTCCTTCTAGTCAATCATTCAGTTCTTACTTTAACATGGTATCACGCGTAGGTTAGAATCCCCCACCTACCGCTTCCGACCGTACCCTAGCTAGGCCCCGTCGCGCCCCTCCTGGGCCCCGTTGCGCCCCCCCCCCCCCCCCCCCCCCCCCCCCTAGGGCCCCGTCGCGCCTCCTAGCCCCGTCGCGCCCCTCCTGGGCCCCGTCGCGCCTCCTAGCCCCGTCGCGCCCCTCCTGGGCCCCGTCGCGCCTCCTAGCCCCATCGCGCCCCTCCTGGGCCCCGTCGCGCCTCCTAGCCCCGTCGCGCCCCTCCTGGGCCCCGTCGCGCCTCCTAGCCCCGTCGCGCCCCTCCTGGGCCCCGCCGTGCCTCCTAGCCCCGTCGCGCCCCTCCTGGGCCATGTCGCGCCTCCTAGCGCCCCTCCTGGGCCCCGTCGCGCCTCCTAGCGCCCCTCTTGGGCCCCGTCGCGCCTCCTAGCCCCGTCGCGCCCCTCCTGGGCCGCGTCGCGCCTCCTAGCCCCGTCGCGCCCCTCCTGGGCCCCGTCCTGCCTCCTAGCCCCGTCGCGCCCCTCCTGGGCCCCGTCGTGCCTCCTTGGCCCCGTCGCGCCCTGCCGCGCCCCGTCGCGCCCGCTAGGCCTCGTCGCGCCCTGCCTGGCCCCGTCGCGCCCGCCTGGCCCCGTCGCGGCCAGCCTGGCCCCGTCGCGCCTGCCTGGCCCTGCCGCGCCTGCCTGGCCCTGCTGCTCCTGCCTGGCTCCGCCGCGCCTCCCTGGCCCTGCCGCGCCTCCCTGGCCCCGCCGCGCCTGCCTGGCTCCGCCGCGCCTGCTTGGCCTAGCCGCGCCTGGCTGGCCCCACCGCGCCTACCTGGCCCCGCCGCACCTGCCTGGCCCCGCCGCGCCTCCCTGGCCCCGCTACGCCTCCCTGGCCCCGCCGCGCCTGCCTGGCCCCGCCGCGCCTGCCTGGCCCCGCCGCGCCTGCCTGGCCCCTCCGTGCCTGCCTAGCCCTGCCGCGTCTGCCTGGCCTCTCCCACTGCCCGCCCGGCCACTCTTCGTGCCTGCTCGACCTGCCGTGCCATCTTGGGCCCCGTCTACCCTGCTCGCCAGTGCTGGGGCCCCTCGCGGCTGCCGTGCTGGAGAGTGCTACCGCCGTGTCCCTACGTCGCAGTGTTCCTGCGGAGTTGTGGAGCTGTGCCGCTGACCCTGCACGATGGCTGACTTTGTGCTCCGACTGGACGTCGAGGGCCATGCGGTTGACTTCCCCACCAGGCTCTCCGATCTCCGCCGCCACTTTACAGGTCAGCGCCAGGATGGCCACTCTTTGGTTGTCCATGTCGATGGCTTGCTCCCCCGCCCCCCCGCACCTGCTCCCCTCCCTGCTGACCCCTCATCTGATGACCGTGAGACCTTCTCTACTGCTGTGCTTGCCTAAGCGGTCAGGGACTCTCGCGATGCAGTCGCTCAGGTTGCTATTAGCCACGCCCTCCCTGTGTCTGAGCGCTCGCGTTTTGCTACTGTTGAGATGGCCAAAGCTTACTTAGACGCCGTTATTGCTCGCTATTCCACACCCGCGTCTGCTTCTGCCGGCCGCTTGCTCTTCTCGATGCTGTTCCCAGACCTTGTAGCCTTCCCTACCGTCGCAGACTTTGCCACTCACCTGTGTGCCCTGGAGACCCGCTATCGCACTGCCAGCACTGCTGCCCAGCTCACTACGCTCCCCCCCCCCTTCTGCATGACGCTCTATTTTATCGTCATGCGCGTACCAGACCGCCTCGCTAGTGCTCGCGATCACTTCCTTAGCCAGCACCTGGGTGACGTCACCCTCACCGCCTTTGTCGACACCCTCACCAAGATCGAGACTCGCCAGCGCACTATCGCTCAGTCGAGCAATGCGCCGGCAGTCTCTATCTTTCACGGCTGTGCCCCCTCCCAGTGCACGCTCACTGACGTTTCGGCTGCGGTCGCCACGGCGACCCCTCTCACCGAGACGGCTGCTGCGGTCCACCCGCAGCAGCGCTCGCGCCGTGGTGGCCGTGGTCGCCAGGGAGGTAGGGGTAGTGGCGCAGGTGGTGGTGGTGGTGGTGGTCGTGACGGTAGTCTGCCTCAGGGGACTTCCACCGGTGGGCAGGAGCAGCAGCCCCAGCCGCAGCAGGAGCAGCCCCAGCAGCAGCCGCCGTCCCAGCAGCAATCGCCGGAGCCGTGGGCTCGTCTCCCGCCTGGTTGGCCCGGCACCTCCAGAGGTAGTGGCCGTGGTGGCGGCCCGCGTAGCTCGGTGTTTAACGGCGGCTCCGGTGCTGTCACTTGCCAGTACCAGCTTCAGACCGGGCCTCTTCGCGGCACTCTGTGCCGCCGCCCGCACCCGACCGCCTGCTGTTTCCGTCGCCTAGACGATCTCTTTCGTCGTCGCTTTGGCCCGGTCCCGGACCTCCCCGACTGGCACAGCATGCTCCGCCAGGGCGTGCCGATCTTTGAGTTAGATATGGATCAGATAGGTGCTGCTTTGCATGCCTTGTATTCTGACGCTTCTAGTGTTGCTGGATCTTATTACCCTGTGTACTCTAGTTTAGGTGTTGCACCGTTGTGTAGCTTAGCCTCCCCTGCTGCGTCAGGCATAGGACTGCCTAGTTTGCCTAGCCTAGTCTCTGCACCGGCTCCGTTCCCGGCCTCCGCCACTGCTTCGTTGTCCTTATCTCTCGACTCCGGTCCTTCTGCCTGCTTCTTCCGCGACCGTTCCGCGCTCACGCTGCTTGCTACGCCTGCTGTTGTCTCTCTCGTTGACCCCTCTGCAGGTCCTGTCATCGCTCGCAGTTCTACGTCCCTTCCCTGTCCAGCAGTTCCCTCGGGCTGCCTTACAGGCCTCCACGTTCCCTCGTTCTCGAGGAACTTGGTTGGTGTCGGCTGTCTCCAGGACCTCGGCGTCACCACCACATTCCCCGGGCACGAGCGGTTCGCTGTCTGTTCTGAGGCTATCTCAGGTTCCCCCCTTGCGACGTTCCCCCGGGACCCGATGTCCGGTCTGTTTACCCTCGACACCGCTTCCCCCCCGGTTGGTGCGTCCTTCCTGGTCGCTGCAACTTGCTCGTGTCGGTCCCTCACTCACCCATCCCTTCTCTGGCACCACCGCCTAGGTCACATTGCTCTCCCAAGTCTGCGTCACATGTACCAGCACGGTCTTGTCTTAGGTCTCCCCCCGTCGCTCCCTGCCCTTCCTCCCTCGACTGCGCCACCGTGCACGCCTTGCGTCGAGGGCCGGCTCCGCCGTGCTCCTCACTCCTCCTCGCTGCGCTCTGCTACTGCCCCCCTTTAGACCCTGCACCTGGACGTTTGGGGCCCTGCCCCCGTCCCCGGACCGCGAGGTGAGCGCTACTTCCTTGTGCTCGTCGACGACGACACGCGCTACACCACGGTATTTCCCCTGGAGCGTGGGTTGTGGCTGCGCGTGCCCAACATTCTTCTCCCGTGGGTTGTGGCTGCGCGTCTTCACCGCGGTCTCCCCGTGTTGTGTCTCCACTCTGACCGTGGCGGCGAGTTCGCCTCTGGTCGGCTTGGACAATTCTGTCGTGCGGAGGGCATCACCCAGTTGTACACCTTGCCGGACTCACCACAGCAGAATGCGGTTGCTGAGCGCCGCATCGGCATGGTCATGGAGGTTGCTCGCACCTCCATGATTCATGCCGATGCCCCCCATTTTCTGTGGCCGTTCGCTGTTCGCTACGCTGCTCACTAGCTTAACCTGTGGCCCCGCTCCCAGCGGCCGCAGGTTTCGCCGACCCTCCTTTGGACCGGGTCCCCCGGTGACGCGTCTGCGTTCCACGTCTGGGGCTGTCTTGCTCACGTTTGTGCCTCTGGCACGGACAAGCTCACGGCCCGCACTGTCCCCTGTGTCTTCCTTGGTTTCCCCCTGCCGCTGCCGCCGCCGCTCTTGGCCTCTGGGGGTGCTGGTGTTGGGGAGAGTGTTCGTCCTGCGGCTCCTGGCGTGGTTTGTCCCGGCGGGCCTGGGGGTGCCGCTGGTGCTGGAGGGGGTTCTCGCTCTGGAGGTGTAGGTTCTGGGGGTGCTGCCGTTGAGAGTTCTGCCGGTCCGAGGGTCGCGGCCCAGCCGTCGCAGCAGCCGTCGCCGCCGGTCTTCGCTCTCCGCCTGCTCGGCCTTCCCTCCCCGGACCGCTCGCCGGTGTCTCCCCCACCGCCTGCCGACCTTCCTGTCTACGGCCCTGTGTTCCCGCCGCCGGACTCGTCTCCGGCCCGTCTTCCTCCTCGTTCCCCTCCTGTGTCCCCTCCGCTGTCTCCTGACCCTACACCTCCGTCCCACATTTGGTCACGTCGTCCCTCACGTGCCCGTCCTGCCTCTCCTGTCCTGCGCTCACACCCTATGTTGCTCCGTTCCCA